AGACCAAACATCCATTGATGTAGTCATTTACATCTTTGCACATCCCTGACCAGTAAGCAATTTGCTTTAACGCATTGAGAGTTGCTTTGACGCCTTTGTGTCCTGAAGACGGAAGGTCATGGGCATGTACCAACATCACTCCCCTGTGGTCTTGAGGCACAACGAAAGGAGGTGAAGATGTTGGATCGAAAGCAAAGACGAGCATGCCTTTGACCATTTTCAGGTGTCAGCGAACCTTAAAAAGAGTACATAGTTCAGGGTCAGAGTCAAGTTTGGTCAAGGAAGGAATGTTAGTGTCTGGATCAGCCAGGTACTGACTCATTTTCCCGATGGCTGGATCCAGAAACTGAAGTTCCATGAGGTCCTTGTCCGTAAATGCAGGTTCTACTGAAACTGTGTTGTTCACTGGTTGTGGAGCAGTAGAGGTGGAAGCTTCAGCACGAGAACGTGTGAGAGTACACACCTCTGGGGAGGGAGGGTCTGGGACATGAGCAGGCAGCCAAGAGGGGTTGAAAGACCACCGGGCACCATTTATGGCACCTCTTTTGGCCAACGAGTCTGCGAGATTGTTAAGCTCTTTGTCCTGTCCTGGCACACGTGAGTGGCCTCTGACCTTTTTCCAAAAAGACTTGTAGGTTGTGAGATGTCACCAAGTGATCACATGCCATGAACAAGTCCTTGTGTTTCACTGTTTTATTGTTGCACGTGAGAAAACCTTTACATTTCCACGCAGCAAGGTGACAAGAGAAACTCAGCCGTGCATAATTGGAGTCTGTGCAGATCACCAAAGAATGAACAGAGTGTTTTACTGCGGTTTGCAATGCTATCAATATGTCTGCAAGTTCAGCATATTGTGATGATTGTAAGCCTAGTTTAAAATGTAAGGTGTGTTGTTCACCATTGTGGAGCCAAACGGCACCAACACCAGCTTTGATAACAGCGTTGTGGTGGAAGGAACATACACCTACATACACAGTTGTCATGTCCTTACAAACATTTTCATCAAAGTATTGATGATGTGGGTCTTCAAAGGCGGTGGCATGTTCGACAGGTGTCTGTACCAAAGGGGTATCCTGAGTGCACTGTTGGCAGGTTGCCAAGTCTATGCCCAGAGGAGTTCTCTTGTTTTGAGCATAGTGAACTTCTATGTCAAAACTCTGCAAGGCCATAAGCCATGAAGCCACACATGCATTTGTCACCAGACCATCTCTGATACGTTGGCTGTTAAGAAAAGTTATTGGTTGGTGTTGTGTTTCCACAATAGTCTTTTGTCCACCTAGGTAGTTAGATAAATATTTCACTGCCCACACAGTGGCTAACAGTGCTTTCTCACAGTCAGAGTATTTCAGTTCAGGTCCTGCCAGGGTTTTGCTGGCGTAGGCTACTACATGTTTGTCTTGGTCATAGAGTTGATACAAACTAGCACTCAAGCAGTGAGCTGAAAAACCCACTTCAAGATGGAAGTCTTTGTCACTGTTGGGGTATGCCAGACAAGGTGCTGAGCACAGCTTGGCCTTGAGGGCATCTGTAGCTTGCTGTTGTACATCAGATCACTGGAAAGGCACATGCTTTTTGAGGAGTTCAGTTAAAGGTTTTGCCAGATCAGCATAGTTCTCTATGAACTGGCGTGAGTAGTTACAAACACCAAGGAAACTACAAAGTTCTTTGAGGTTGGAGGGTGTCTTATGGTTGGCAAGGCCTTGGGTTCTACTAAGTTGGGTTTGCACACCATCAGGACCGACTAGTAGACTGACATATTCCACCTTAGCTTTGCACCACTGACACTTCAAAAGTGAGAGCTTTGCGCCAACAGCTGTGAGTTGACTCAGCACGTGGTCAATCTCAGCTAAGTGAGAGTCAAGCGTGGGTTGGCGTAGAAGGATGTAATCTACGTAGATGAGGGTTCCCCATTCCCCTGCATCTAGACACGCCTTGTTTAAGAAGATGTTGAACTCAGCTGGTGAGTTTGCAAAGCCAAAGTGGCACCTAGTGAAGGTGTACTGAGGGCTGGCAAAGGTGAACGCCAATTTATGTTGATCGGCTATATGTACCGGGATCGTCCAGAACCCAGAAGCCACATCAAGCGTGAATAAGTACTTGGCGTTGATCACCTTAGGAAGTTCTTGTTGGAGTTGAATCATCGGCCATCTGGAAAGAGGAACCTGTTGGTTCAACTTCCGGTAGTCAATGGTGAGTCTCCATTTTCCATTGGGTTTGAGAACAGGCCACAAGGGTGCAGAGTAAGTGCTGTTACATGGCCTGATTATTCCTTTCTCCAAAAGGTTGTCAATGATTTCTTGCACGGGCTCATAGGCTCCCAAAAGAATCTTGCACTGGTGCACATAAGTAGGAGGATAATTAAGTGGAGTTGGTATGCGGACGGTGTGGATTGAAGTCAAACCACAGTCCAAAAAGTCGACTGAGAAGGACTCTTCGTATTTGAGAAGAACTTGGCAAAGTTTTTCTCTTTCTTCATCATTGGTAAGAGTGTCGGCTTGGGAAACTACTTGTTCAATATGTGATCGGACCAAAGGGTGGAGCTCAGAGGATGGTGACTCTACAGGTGTGTCTGGAGTCTCTGTGGTCGTACTCATCAACATTATGTCAAAGCTTTGCAACACCATCTGGTCCTTGTTGGTGAGGTCTACACGTCGAACGGCGTCACGGTCGATATCAGTGATTGAGAAAAGGGTGATGGCTTTGGATGGTTTTGTATACAAAACTTGTTCAGTACAATGATCAGGGAGGAGGGAGTTTGGAATGCCTCCCAGGATGGGTACATTCAACTCAAAGTCATTGAAGCTAGTGCTTACTAGCCAACCTAAAGGAGTGGCTTTAGGAATCAGGATGTCTTCTGCACTGGTGTTACAGATGGAAAGGCAGGAAGTCCTGGAGTTGAGGCCCACAAGGGGTGTGGCCTCTAATGAAAGTCCTAAGTCAAAGAAAAGTGGGGCAGGTTGGAAGAAAGCCTGTGAATGGCTAAGAGTTTGTCTTGCCAGGATGTGTATTGGCATGGGTTTGTTTTGAGTATGAGCTGGTACCGTAATGTGTTGACTGTTGGCTACCTGACAAGCTTCAGGGATTGTCTGTCCAGATCAGAGATTTTCCAGATCGGGTACAAGTGCGTCCTGAGGGACAGCTGTCAGGGATCACAAAACATTGTTGATGGTGTCCACTTGAACACCAAGACAGACTAAGATGTCACTGCCTATATACACAGCATGAGGCAAGTTTGGGATCACAAGAAATGGATAGGTCAGTTTCTTATGATTCCATTTGACTTTGAGGACACAGACGTCCCCACTTGTTAAGACACAAAAAGATTTTGGGTCATTTGGGAAGCGGAAAGACCTTTTAACCATCTGGAGATCACAGTGATCTTGCACCAAGGCATCATAGAGGTCATGGCTGATGGCGGACTTATCCGTCCAGAGAGCTAGGACAACATTGTTCATGTGGGAGTCCTGTATCTCAAGACCTTTCAACACCTGTGGTAGGTAGTGTTCACTGGACTGTGAGGGACGAGTTATTCATCTGAACTTTGGTATAATGGTAGTTGAGAGCGAACCCAAACACCTTTTACTATCAAATCAAGAATTTAAATCGGCACCAGCCTGGCAACCCCCGTCAAAGTTTCTCCAGGAACTTTCTAGTTCATTTTATTACTCTTATGTTAACATTATGGAGAGACACATTCCTGCTGTTATATTTGATTTTTATTGTTTAAACATGAATAAATATGTAAAAATAAATGAAACTGTAACTGTCCCTTTTTTTAATTTCATCTTGATAAAATTTCATTCTTTTTAGTCTCCGAGCTGGAAATGTCCCCAGATTTCACTTCAGAAATCTGGTCACTTTAAACTGAAGCTGATGTTGCTTGTCAGGATGTTCTTATTGTTGTCTAATATTTTATACTGTTTTAAGCTAAGTAGAACAAAATAATGTTTAAGAAAGTAAAATTCTTTTTAGAAATATTTTACTCTGGTAATTCTATATGCACTCAAAATAAATTGTCAAATTGTGTAATAATTAACGTTCTATGCGTATTTTTTATCATTCAAAAACATGCATTCAATTAAATTCAGGTTCATTTCAGAGCAAGAAAAGCAGAGGGGGAGGGAGGGGTGAATCATCACACTGTGGGGTCAGCCTGCCCTGCTATGAGGTGTCCCTTATTTAATAATGGTCAGTCAGGTCATCTGGACAGTTTATTTTTTGTGGGAAAATGTTTTGCCTTCTATCCAGAGGCCTTCATCTGTCTGAGGAGTCCCAAGTCAACAACAAACTGGTTGATCCACCATGAGAAGGTACTATTTATAAGACTGAGCTGAATACAGCTCCTCAGACTGCAGAAGTCTTTCGGATGAAAGATGAAACGTTTCTACAAATTTTTTTTGCTTGTGTTTTTTAAATTTTTTTTATTTGAATGTCCAGAGGACCTGACTTAACTTTTTTAGATCTCAAGTAAACTGTTTTCCCCACTAAGCAGTACACTCCTTTAGTGGACCAACCAGTTTGCTGGTGATAAGATGGTTTCAGCTGTCCTGTTCCTGTCTGATGAAGCCATCTGGATAGAGGGTGAAACATTTTCCACAAAAAAAAAAAAAGACACTGTCCAGATGACCTGACTGACCATTATTGGATTTTGTACCTGGATGATTGAGAATGAACTTTAATGTCCCTTATTTATTTTTCAAGGAATTGGCAACCCTACCGCTATACTGTACCTAAATAAATTGTTGGCAAGAGCAAAGCCTCTGGTGCTTGAGTGACCGTGCCAACGTTACATTATCTTAATTTATTGAAAGCTTTTATTTATGCCCACTCCTGTTAATATTTCATTCCAACACTAACATGAGGATCCTGGAATCATTCATTGCAACAAAACAAAACAAAAAAAACCAACAACTAGTAGCTGCGACAATCTCGGCAGTTCTCGCGAGAATCCCGGCAGTTCTCGCGATACAAAGTGTTCTTGCGCTGCATTTATTAGCAGCAGTCTCCCTCTGCCGTCTCACTTGTGCGGTTCGGTCCAGCTTGGGTCCAGTGGACGGTCGCAGTTCCGCTGGTCGACATTAGGTCTTGGAACATCCATCAGAGACGTTTCGCTTCACGGAAACGTTTTTATTTTTAATTTGCTTGGAAGAGATCAGCTGGCAGAGTCCAGGCAGCTTCGTTGGTTCTGACCCGCAGAAGGAGCCGGTAAGTCTGAAACATTGATGCTGAATCATTTTTACTTTTCATCTGTTATTATTTATTTTGTGTTTGACAGTTTATAAATTATGACGTCATTGCGAGATGTTAAAAGTAGCATTTTTCATCACATTTCGCCACCTCTTCTCGAGAGCCGCTCGCTCTCACGACTTGTCTCGTGCACGACTCATTTGAAACCGTGCCGTACATCAGTGCAATGGTTCCGAGTCCACAGGAGCAGAACCGGGTCAGCCTGCGCCACCTGAAGCAAGCAGGACTAGGGTAAACCACACTAACCAAAAACTGTTTATCACGACAGGGGCTCCGAATCTGGGTCGGTACCATGTCCGAACCACCAGGTGTGGTGCAACACACACACCGCCTGGTTTCGATTGGACCGTCCCGACTTGACTGGTTCTGTTCAGCTGTCTGTGCAACACAGTCTATATTTACAGTGTGTCAACCAGAGCTGCAGGGGCGGTCTTAGCCTTTTTTGGGGGGATGCTCAAGTGCCCCTAAATTTTAACTCGGCACCCCTGAAACATAAAAAACCATCATTGGATTGCAAGGAAACGCAGTTCTCAAACAGTCGATTCACAAAAACATTGAATAAATTTTGAAATAAACACGGAATAAAATATGACAACTGGCCAGATAAACATGAATTTTTATGTTGTATGAGTCAGATCCTTATGCCACCTGTCAATCAATCCAGCAGGCTTGTCAGCGACTGACCAATCAGCAAATTAAATTTGTCCCGAAGGTAAACGCCCTGTACCTGCAAGAGCTCCTCCCCTTTTTCCTCCAACAACATTGAGTTTTGCATTTCAGTCGCTTTGGGCCAGAGGGATTTCATGAAAAATCATCAGGAAAAAAATGGTTCAATGTTGTCAAGTTATTCAGACAGAGTTACCCTGAGGGGTTAGAGCGTGGAATACAGTTTATTACATTTCCAACCTAAACGGAATCTGGAAAAATGTAAAAGATGATGAAACCCTGCGGCTGACCTCCTGATCAGCTGAATACAACAGTGATAAACAGGAATTACCACATGTTCATGAAGGTAGCTGCTAGTAAATCCTCCATTTTCTGTCATAATTACGTTGTATGCTTAATGGTTTAATTGGAAGACAAAGTTAGAGAGGCCAGACTGAGGGGCCGTTTACACAGCGTGTATTTTGAGTGAATCCGCTCCTTTCTCTCTGCGGTTCTGCTGATCATTTACACGACACCAGTGGCCCCCTCTTTGAATCCGGAGGTTTTTCATTCCACCTTCCAGAGTGGAGGTTTTTCACTGACCCCCCCGCTGATAATGTAAACATCTCCCGCTGAGGCTTTGTGTTAAACCACATACGCACGCACAGACAGACGACATATTTCTATCAACATGGCGGCGGACACACTGCTTTCTGAACTACGACTGATGGAATATATTTTTAATCTCGTCGTTAATCTACGTCAGATTTGAGGTGCTGTGACCGACATCTGTGTTGGAAGAGACACAGTCTGATCCAGTTCTAGTATCGCTGTCTATAGAACGTGGCACGCGCACTATAACATACTAAATATGCTAAATAACAACAGTTTAATAATAATAAACAGTATTTATGTTAGTGTGAGCTATATAATGAAGCCATCTGAGCTAAATGAAGCTATCTGGACATTATGTAATTCAAGTTATGTGATTTAATGATGTGAAACATGCTGTGTGTTATTAAAGTTGAACATGAAGACATCAGGTTTATTTTTTATTTATTTATTCAACACTACAAACAGTATGTCACACAAACACTGATAATTAAACTGAACACACTTTTAAAAACACGTTAACTGTAAACTACATTAATGAACTGGACTCTTGTTTTCATCCTGGATGTCCCACGTTGTTCATCTGGCTCGTTCAGGAAGTCACTCCTTTGATTAATGCAGCTTAAAACATTCAATGGATTGAATAAAAGAACTGAGGGGAATTATAAATAAATAGTTCATCCAACATCTCTGTCTTCGACGTCCTCCTGCAGTGCACCTGGGCCGAGACTCGTTCATTCCCATTGGAGGACGACTGCTCTAGCCTCTCAGCCACAGCTGCCCCCAGCTGAACAGGATTATTTTTTAACATATGTAAATAGATGTATAAAAAATAAACTATTTAATATCAGAGTCAGAGAGATTTATTTGTCATCCACACCACACATGATACATGAGGTGGGATGAAACTATGTATGTAAATAGTTTTTATTTTTAGGCATTTATTTTCATTCAACCTTTATTTTGAGTATTTATACTGAGGCATTTATTTTGTACAGTTACAGCTGTTGTTAATAAATGTGGCTGTGTGACAACTGGGACAAAACTTTGACTAAGAAATATATTTTTGTTATTTATGGAAAGAAAAAATATCAAGATATATATTGTATATCGCAATATATCTTAAAATATCGAGATATAAATTTTGGCCCATATTGCCCAGTTTTACTGTTGAGGTGCTGTGAAGTGGGAACGCGCAGCAGGACCAACCGCTGCATTTCTTTAAAATTTAACAAGATAACCACCTAAAAACAATTATTTGTTTGCTAGACTTTATAGGGATGGGGCCAATCCGGGGATAACTTTAGCCGGGGACAGGGCTTCCAAAACGGGGACTGTCCCCGGGAATCAGGGATGTCTGGTCACCCTAATCTTGAGGGTCGAGATGGGGTAGAGGTAGGGCAGCCCACTTGGCACAAGAAAGTCACGGTTCGACTCCCCACCATTCCCAGATGTTGTGGTGTCTCTGAGCAAGACACCCAATCCCCAATTGTTCCCCGGGCACTTGCATAGCTGCCCACTGCTCTACCTGGGTATATCCCAGGTGTGATGGGTTAAATGTAGATAATTAATTTTACCATTGTATGGGAACTCAGGGATCCCCCTCAGGGATGTGTGCTGAGCCCTCTCCTGTTCACTCTGCTCACGTATGACTGTGCACCTGCCCATCCAGGCTGTCACATTTTAAAGTTTGCAGATGATACAGCGGTGGTGGGATGCATCACAAACAAAAATGAGTCCAGCTACAGGCAGGAGGTGGTACACCTGGACAGCTGGTGCAAGGAGAAACCTTCATATCAATGTGAAGAAGACAAAGGAGATGGTCGTGGACTTCAGATGGAACAAACACACCTACCCCCCCACCCCTGAACATAAGAGGATCTGCAGTGGAAGTGGTCTCCAGCTACAAGTACTTGGGTGTGCACCTGAATGAAAACCTCAGCTGGGCAACAACACCACCAGCCTGATCAAGAAATCTCATCAGAGACTCTACTTCCTCAAGTGGCTGAGGCGAGCTGGTCTGGGAAGCTCAGTCCTCACCTCCTTCTACAGGTGTGCAGTGGAGAGCATCCTGTGCTCCAGCATCAACGTGTGGCAAGGAGGCTGTACAGCTGCTGAAAGAAAAGCTTTTCAGAGAGTGGTGAAGGCTGCGCAGAAGATGTTGGAGTCAGCCTCCCCACCATCACAGACATACACACCTCCAGATGCAGGAAGAGGGCCACCTGCATCATGAAGGACCCCACTCACTCAGCACACACTTTTTGCCCCGCTCTCCTCAGGAAGGAGGTTGAGGAGCATTAAGTGTAGAACCACTAGACTGAGGAACAGCTTCTACCCTGAGGCTGTTAGACTCATGAATCTCTAACCAGGATAATCACTGTGAAAAAAATCACATCATGTTGCTGCTGATCTGTTTCATGTTGCTGCTGATCTGTTTCTTGCTGCTGTGTTCATTCGTGTTCATCTGCTCACACAGACTCATGTTCATGCTGCTGTTCGACGTATTGTTTTTATGCTACTAGTACATAACATGGGGCAGCACGGTGGCGCAACTGGTAGAGCTGCTGCCTCTCAGCGAGCAGGTCCTTGGTTCAAACCCCGGTCCAGGGGCCTTTCTGGGTGGAGTTTGCATGTTCTGTCCGTGCATGCGTGGGTTTTCTCCGGGTACTCCGGTTTCCTCCCACAGACCAAAAACATGCATGTTAGGCTGATCGGTAACTCTAAATTGTCCCTAGGTGTGAGTGAGAGAGTGAATGGTTGTTTGTCTCGTTTGTCTCTATGTGGCCCTGTGATGAACTTGCGACCCGTCCAGGGTGTACCCCGCCCTTCGCACAGTGATTGCTGGACATGGGCACCAGCGACCCTCGTGACCCAAAATGGAATAAGCGGGTAAAGATAATGGATGGATGGATGGATAGTACATAACATATTTTTAGCTGATGTTTTTCTTAGTTCATATCTTAGATCTTATTACAGTTTTTCTTTTACATTTTATTGTTGTATGTAAGTGAGACCCTGTGTACATAATTTCGTTCTACCACATGTACCGCATGTGGTGCGAATGACAAAGAATCTCTGAATCTGAATCACTGAACATACAATGATGACAATCTCAGACTTCTCTTCCCCTCTTCACTTAGTTGAACGAGGAATCTTTTCTCAAAAATATTTACTTAATCAAGTGCTTACATATGGAGGTAAACATAGATGTTTATCGACCTGTTAAAATACACCAGAATGCAGGAAATGGCATCTATTTTATTCCAAAATTTCTAGGGGAGAACACACAGATCCCCCCCCAGTGCCCCCCCCCCCCCCACACACACACACACACACATTACACATGCTTTTGACAACACAGGGCACAGAGAGGCACGAGTTTTAGCTCTTTAAAAATTATCTGTTACATTTGGTTTCTCATTTTGGCTTGCTGCTGTTGTTGTTTGTTTATTTTTTTTGGTTGACTAGCCATCTTTCCTGCATATGTCCTAATTAAATTAGGATATGTTTGAAAACGTCGTTTTTACCTAAAAATTCCACAAACCTGTTTTATTTTGTCTATTGATTTTTTCCCCTAATTTCGTTCTTGAAGTATACCAGATTGCTTAATTTAAATTCTGTTCAGTTTATTTAAATACATGTTAAAAATCACAAACCCCACCACCACTACAGGCACTTTTCATCCCTTGTGAGTTTGCAGG